ATAATTGATGACAAAGTGATTTTAATATTGATTTCTAGTTCATGAAATGTTATTTTTATGCTTAGTTTTTATTTGCTCCAAAATTTACCCATCTTTTAAATTGTGGTATCAAATGTTAAGGACTTTATTTACTTAACTTGACTACTCCACTACGAAGCAACAACCACCACAAGGGGCCATATTTGAAATAAAATCCGATCTTAACCGTTGCCCCAATTGATGATTGGCAGAGGTTGCCTGAGAAGTATAGCAAATTACCCTTTAATTAGAATTTTTATTGAATAAATAAAGACTTTAAGATTTGATAGTACAATTTAAAAGATGGGGAAATTGTTGAACACATAAAAGCCGAGCATAAAAATAATTTTTCGTGAACTAGAAATCAACTCTAAAATTCCTTCGTCTCGAACTATTTATTAGATTAGAGTAATGATCTTATGAGACCCTCCCACACCTATGTGTGTGGGACTCCAAATGATCACCATTAAATTTAGCACAGATCTCCAGAATCAAATAAGCATTTTTAAAGAGGCGGCTCATCTAGATCCACAAAATCGCACAATTTCCATCCATTTTAATGTTTTTTATAATTTTTATTTTTAAAATTATGATTTAACTTTTTTCTTGACCGATTCTTAGTTTCCCAAACCTGCCTAAATTGGCGATCCTGCTCAGTCCAAGCATGACATATCCAACCTCCCGATCTAAAAAATTGCTTAGAAAGAAATTCTTTTTGTAAAAGCAAGTGATTTTGGACATCCAAAATATTTGAGGTGAGCTGGGTAATTTTTGATACAACGTAACATAAAGGTAATGTAGCTTAGATGGTAATCATTCTCACATCGTGGGGGTGTAGCTCAGATGGTAGAGCGCTCGCTTAGCATGCGAGAGGTACGGGGATCGATACCCCGCATCTCCACCAACTCTAAATCTTTGAGTGTCTTTTTGGAATTTCAGTGAGTCTTTCTATGTAATCTTCTAAACAAAATCGAATATTATATTATTTGCTCTAATTGATAACTTTGAGTATCATTATGTAATCTTCTAAACAAAATCGAATATTATATTATTATTTGCTCTAATCCAGATAATTTTGAGTATATTTTTGCAATTTCAGTGAGTCTTTCTCAAGCTTCTCCATGTAGGTAGAGCATATCTATCATTTATGTATTCTTCTACACAAAATCGAATATTATATTATTTGCTCTAATCCGGATTCTACGCCGTGGAAGCTCAATGTTGTTATGGTTGAAATCTTAGTCCTTAGGGATTACGAGGTGATTTCTCTACATTGATGGTGGCCTTACCCCATCTCCTCCGTTTCTCTTTTTTGTTTCCCCTGTTATCTCTTTCCTCTTTATTTTGTTTTGTTTTTCTTCTGTTGTAACTTTCATTACCGCAATGAATTCTCGCATTTGCTCAAAAAAACTATCTGGCCATTTCTTTTTATTTATATTTGTAAAAAGTTCTATATGCTTGTGTGCGTATATTTGAACTCTTGTAGAGCATATTACTCTCTTCTCATTTCTATAACCTAAAAAAAAAAAAACTTGCAACAAGTAAATTTCTGTTTCTACTTCCAATAGGTCAATTTAACAAGCAATATGATTCATTTTAACTATCTTGCGATACCCCTTTTAGAGAAATGTACGAATTACAAAATCTGCTTCAAAGTTTCTTAAAAAATCCCGGTCTAAATCTGAGATTGTTATGATAAAAGGTCAAGTGAAGTTACTTTCATGTAATTTGAAAGAGTTTGGAACTGATTGGACCTCTATTGAAGCAATCAAATGACATGACATTTCTTAGTACATGTGGACATGTCTCAATAGCCCTAGAGCCTTGAAAGAAGGTTCCAACAAAATTTAGTAGTCTGTGACAAAATTGAAATTTGGTTCACCCAAAAAATTTTGTAGGGTATTTTTTATTTCTTTCCAACAGATTATGAAAGATGTTTGTTGTCTCTTTCATGCCTTCATTCGAGATATCCAATTATATATCATGGCATTGAGATGGAAAAACAGATCTAAATATTATTAGGTCTTTAGAGGGCTAATCATAATTACTCTTAATGTGACTTTTAATGATAAGATGATACTTTGGATCTCAATTTCTATTGGCCTTTACTTTTAAATTTAATAATTAATTATATGAAGTGGAGGCTATATACAATAGAAGTCTTCTAATGGAATATGGATAGGAGAAAGAAGAAGAGCAATGATTTGCTCACATGGTATGCCCGTGACCATGGGGTTTGGCCTATAGAATTTGGATTTAGCACCCATTCTCATTGCCTAGTTTGGGGATAGATCCAAGGGTCGGTGATCTCATCAATTCATTATTGTTTTGTTGTGTTTTTTTTATCAAGGAACAACAACTATACACAAATTATGTATATTATGTTGTTTCGCTTTACGGAAATTATGTATATTATGTTGTTTCGCTTTACGGTGTCAGATTGTTAAAGTTTGAATAGTTGCGTGGAAATGTATCCCAAGCGCTTGCAAATATGTAATATGAAAATAGTTGTGGTGGTAGCATCCTCACACCCTAATCACCACGTTTGTAGCTTTCATTCCTTTTGACACCACCCCGCTAACCATCTTAAAAAAAACTAACTCCTAAACTATTTGCAAAAACATGTAGGGGATTGTCTTTCCCATTGAATTGCCAAAAAAATATAAAAATAATGCCTTTTATTTGTGCATCAGATGATATTTTTCATGTTCATATCATCGACTAATTTCTCTAATTTTTTTCTATTAAAAATATCCAGCCTTAGACTACTTTTTTTCTCAAAAGAAAATTTTATTATTAGGCTGAAAATTGCAAATCTTAGCTAACATTTCATTTTCATCCCTCGTTGAATACGTTGGTTTCTCATTTAGTTGTTCCCTTTGTTGTCATAATCTAATTATTTAACCCATTTTACAAGCAATCACAATCAATCATTATCCTCCACAAATTCCAAATTTTAGCACCATCAAGCCTTGTTAGCTTGGGAGTCCTCCTTCCAACCCTTAATAATTTAAGAATAAAACAGTATCTCGATATTAATTATATGACACTCGACATTAATTTTTTCAATCAGGGGAACCTTTAGAAAGGAACATTTCCTTGACTTGCAAAAAAGGCATTGGGATTGGAGGTTTTTAGCTTTCATAATTTCTGAATGAAAAAGACATGTATATGACTCTTCTTCAAAGGTAGTATTTTGTACAAGGTTGATGCCATAAACAATCAAAATAAGGCTCACCTTCAAATAGTATCGAAATATGTTGTTCCAGTATCAAAAATCTTTGAGATGGCTTGAAAATTTATTTTCATACTTAGTTATGAAAATCTAAAGATTAAAAAAATATTAAATCGAGTAGATCCATGATTCGAAAATCTTGAAAATTGACTATCTCAATAATGCATTACAAGGTGAACTATTTTTAGTATTTAAAGTCTATTTTTTCTCTTATCTATACATCTTGAGGTCGAGATGACCAATTTGATGATTTTTTAGCATCGAAACAATTTTTCCTAGTGAATTGTGTGGTATATCTTAATTTGATTGTTTAGTGCCTTACCCTTATATAAACTTTTTCTTTCTTTAAAATGAGGGAAGGAATAGAATAAAAGTATATCTGGTGCCTTTGGTGTAATAATTTAAAATCACTCATAATTGTTAGATGTGAAATCGGACAGTCGAGGTGTTAATTGACCATAGTTGAGGTTTTATAACAACTTTCTAAGGCTTTATACATGCAAATGCCAGGATTTCTTCAGCATTATACAAGGGTATGACATACTCACGTGCGAAATGATAACATTGAGATGATAAACTTAGAATGGGAAAAATTATTGATTGTCTATAGTTTAGAAGAATATAAGTAAGAACATTGATAGATAAATCTTCCAAATGTGTATCTCAATAAGTTTGTTACGACAAACTTGAGGTAAATTCGAGTAACTTATAAGCATAAATAAGATGGAATTATGGCCTCATAGAGGATATGGTCCTTAGTAGAGTAAAATGAGAGATTAGTAAAAAAAAACGATGATGAGGAGTATAAATGGGATTCATTTATAAACGTGAAAGTATACGCTAGGATGACCGAGTACAAAATGTTACAACCATTAGTGGCCATGAGATTAACATAGCACACTCGAGGGTGTTATTTTGCTCAAAATCTGATAAAATTTTATACCGCCTCTTTGCACGAAAGGCAATGGTCTCGATGTATTAAATTAGTATTGAGTTAAAACAATCCTCTCTCTCGCTCTTTCTCTTTTTTCTTTTTTTTTAATGGAAAAAACTGGGAAAATAGATTGGAAATTGTAGCGGACCCGGTTTCTATGCGGCCAAGTCCACATATGTAGAAATGCGGGCATATAATAAATGTATTTTTGAGATGGATTTTAAGCCTCGAATTTTAAAGACATGTAATATCTAACATATAGATAATGAATATAAAAAAATAAATAAAATTTAAAAACCATAAATAATAATTCCAGTAAGAAAACATTTGGACCGTTAGTTTCTATTGTTTTTAGATGGAACACCTACTTACGTCCATCTTTAAGGTAGTTGTTTTACACTTTTTCGAATGCATATGTAGAAACGCGGCCCAACCTGCATGAAACAATTTTTCAATCGTAGCTCTTGCAAAGGAAGTTGGATAACTATTATCATCATCATCATCATAATTTTTTTTCTATTAATTGGAACCGACTATACGAATCCTAATTCGTCATTTTGCTCTATTAAGAATCATACTCTCAATGAAGTCATAAGTTGGATAACTACTATCTAAAATATCATTTGGAGAAATGATTCGAATTTATAATGTTTTTCTCTTTACTTCACCAATTTGGTGGTTTTTATCGGGAATAGCAAATTGTATTAACTAAATAAAATATGCTGGGATCTAAAAGGAATTCTGTTGAAACAAGTTACAGATGGATTTTCCTTTTAAAAAAAAAAAAACTCCCAGTAAAGCTTTATACAATTATATAGATACAACAGTTACTATCTTTAAAACGAAAATTAACCATGAAGGAAAAATTCTAATGGAAGCGAAATCTCTCTCTCTCTGAGCCTCAATCTTTTTCTCTAAATAACCCAAGATTTGTAGCCAAAAATAATTGAAATCTAAAGTCTCTCTCACACGCAAGAGGGACCCAATCTTTTTCTCTAAATAAACCATACACCCAAAGATTTCTAGCCAAAAACTACAGAAATCTAAGTCTCACCCAAATCTCCCCTATCTCACTCCAATGAAGCCATCTTTCCTCTAAATGACCAAAATGCTCAAACCTTCTCACCCTCCTCTTTCAAGCATATGACAATTCCATCCCTGACCGCCTAGTTGGTGAGTGGCATTCCCATTTCCTTACATAGGGCTCCACTGTTAGCTAGGGGCAAGGCAAAATGATCATTTTTTAGGATGTTCAAAAGAGCCTGGTGTTTCACGTCGTTTTCTGAAAAGTCATGGGCATTATTCGATCATTTCTCCTATCTGTTATCTGTAGTCCTGCGGCCAGCAGTGGACCACCTTGAAGAGAACATATGGTCCAGCAGGAGCACCAGTGCCATGGCCACCTCCATCTCCATTTCCGGTTGTACGATCAGCTTGAACACATCCCAACCATACGATATCCCCGCTTTTGATGCCTCCTTGCACTTGATCTCCGCCACATGTTGCTGCTTCTCATCGAGGATGGTGCAACACCGTTGGGAATATATGCCCTCGATCTCGTAGATGGGCGTCTTTGATGCGCTTGAGAAGACGTGAGCCAAGGACTTGGGGTTTAGGAAATTTCTCGACTTCTTCATAGAAAATCGCGGCTTTGCACCTGAGCCGAAGTCACCATCAAAGATGAGCCAGTGATCACTTAAGCTTAACATCTGCATGATGCGGTAAACTTATTTTATAAGTAAGATTGCAATGTTCTAGACGATGTAGAACTGGAAAGTCTTTTAAGAGTTCCCATAGTATCTTTTAAGACAACCTCAAATATTAACCATCAAACCACAATGAATTGTATTTACGACAAAATTTTCCTCAAAAGGGCCAACAACAATGAAACCCATCAATGAGTTTATAAAAGAAAACCCATTTATTTGTGATCAAATATTGCTCATCTTGAAAACCCATTTAGTTGCGATTAATTATGGTTAAAAAAACCATTGTTGTCTTAAAAACCCTTTTATTTGGCTTTTAAATATTGGTTGGAATTGTTAATTATCTTAAAAAATTATTTGGGATTAAATATGGATTGAAAATGTTACTTATCTTAAAAACCCATTTTATTTGGTTGAAAATGTGACTTATTTTGAAAACCCATTTATTTGGGATTAAATATTGATTGGATTTCTGAATAAATTTAGACAACGCCGATCTCTTAAAAATGCTCCGTATATTTTGAATTACCTCATAGTTTCTCAAAAAATTGGATATGGCCCCGGAACATATTTTGACATTTGCATCCCGAGAGGCATAAATAATTCATAGTAAAGATGGATGCAAATGTGGAGTCATTCCAAAGAAAGTAAACAAATGGTCAAAACATTTTCTTCATAAAAATTATCATTTTTAGTTTCTAATTTATTTATTTATTTACATATTCATGATAATCTCAGAGATTATGTTTCCATAAAAATCAGGTTTAGAATCTAGATCAAAAATAGAATTTTATAAAAAAGGACTTATTTCTACATAGGAGTCATAGAAACCTTGCCCAAAGTCCCCCTCGACTAGTGATGAACAAAGTGGCCGAAAGGAAAAGCCTGTTGAAAGACCCAAAATGACGAAGGATTTGAGTGAAATAATTGCTCAAGTCATTTTCACACTTGCACTAATTTGCCATCCGGGGGTAGAACAGTCATTTGAGAAAAATAACAAGGTGGGATATTTTTTTTTTTTAAAAAAAAGAAAGAAAATTTGGGTTTACCGTAAGAACTCTCTTCCGATTCCGATAATTATTTTCTTGCAAAGTTTGCATAATTTTATTGGCTTTTGTTCTAAGAATGAGATTTTTATAAGGCTTAGGCTTTATGAAAATAAAATAACTCAAATACTCGTACGGAGAGTACTTTTATAATTCTTTATGATAGCTTTAAAATCGATTTTCAACCTCCGACAATGGTATAAATATTGATGATCTATTTTTAATGAAAAATGGATCAGTATATGTAATTTATTATAATATACATTATTTTTAGAGCTAAAAATCTTAATTGTTTCGACAACTATAATGTCCAAGTCTATATGATTGATATAAAGGTTTTTCAATGCTTGACTTGCAATTTTCGATGAGTTATGAGGTGAAGATTTACTCAGTCGAGATGACTGATATAAAGGTTTTCAATGCTTGACTTACAATTTCCGATGAGTTGTAAGGTGGGGATTTACTTATATTGATAGGGCTGCAGCCCCATCCAACCATTTTTATCCAAATTGGAAAAGCCTCTATAGGCTTAAAATCACTACAAACCATTAAAATTTCATCTCTCAATAAATTTCGAAAATTCTCTTATAAATCCGTGTGCAAATTGTGTTCGTACATGCTGCTTCAAAGAACTTTACTTCCAAAATTTGCCCAATTTTATCACCGTTTTCCGTCTTTTGAAAGCTCCAAGAATTTTAAAACCAGTAATAATCATAAAAGTACTGCTCTCAATAATATTCAGTACATGATCATAAATCTATATTCAACTATTACATTATCACTCCTTTACCAGGCCCACAAAAAAAAAAAAAAAAAACCGAAATTCAATATCAATGACAATAAATATCATAACAAATATTTACACCATAAAAACCATTAGAATTAGCAAAAGTAAGCTCTCAATCATATTAAAACATTTCTGATAAATACTGAGCTCTCAATCACAAATATAATTTTCTGATAAAATTCTATTCAAAATTTTTCAAGACCAATTATTTAACCCCTGTCAAAGAACAGAGAGAGAGAGAGATCAATGGAATTTCTAGAAAATATCATAGCATTCTCACCTTTCTTCGAAGAGTGAGAAGTGATTTTCCACATGCATCCATGAGAACCAGCTCTCCTTTATGATCAGAAAGATAATTATCAACCCTAAAAACCAAATTCCCCCTACTATCATACACAGTAAAACCATTGCAATTGAACAGCAATGACTTCTTCCACACTGTTAAAGTCACCACCGGGCCGCGGGTGACCGGCCTCGGCACCTCCGAAGCAGCGTTCGGGTACACCTTCGTCATTGAAAAAGTGGTTTTCAGGTCGCCGGAAAACCAACTCCGGTTTTTAGAAAGATTAGGAAGAAGATGGTGAGTTGTGCATGTCATGTGAGGTGGTTTTCTGAGGCATAGAGAGGTGAGGTAATTTATATAGGAAGGCCACTACAGGGACAAACAGTGGGTGTCAAAAAATGTGACACCCCTCAAAAGCTGGGCGCCATCTAATTCCCACGGCACACGTGTGAGTTGCGTCACCCGTTGATTTTTAAAACTGGAAAAAAAGGGTTTTGAGCCTATGGGGGATGAACTTTCCTTACATCTTCCTTTGCTTCTAAGGTAAATAAAGCAACTACTAATAAAATTATTAAGGAAAAAGTTTATATAAAGTAGAGGCCCTAAACAATCAAATCAAGGCGCATATCAAATTTCATTAGAAAAAGTTAGTCTGATGCTCAAAAATCCTCAAATCGATCATCTCGACATGAATAAACATGAAAAAAAATAGATTTGAAGTCTTTTGGAAAAGGTAATTTATGGACGGTCACTTTTGAAGATTTTCATGTATTCGCATATCTGCTGGATCTAGACTATTATTGGAGCATTATATTTCATAATTAGTGATAAAATAAAGATAAAGTATATAATTAGACCATTTGCTTTGGATATTAGGTGGTTACAATAATATTAACCATTGGATGTGAAATTGGGTGGCTGCAATTATTCTATCGACCCAGCTCAAACTGCAAAAGAAATTTTTTCGAACTTTGTAACACATCGAAGCTATCAAATTTCATATCAAATGGTTGTAAGGAATTGTGACCACCTTATATTGAGCATGGGTGTAGCAAAATCATTCCAATCACCCTGATCTCAGATGTAATGGCTCAAGCTGATCATGGCTTTCTTCTTTTTCTCTTGTTTTAATTTTTTTTTTAAGCTTTAGCTTAAGGAAGGATTGTGACTTGTTTTTACTAAAAAAAATAATTATATTATGATTATTAAATAATGGAAAGTAGTAGACTCCTGATTTCCTATTAATTGATATTTAAGAAAACATTTTAAAAAGCTGAAGCCTTGTGACATTCTTAAATAATGGAAAAATAGTAAAAAATAAAGTTGAAATTTTTGATGCAAAATAAATTTTAAACAAGGAAGAACTTGTGGATGGGGGACTTGGGACTGGTTCTTGATTTTTTGTGGGCCAACACGTGTCAATGAAGAACATATTTTGTAAATAAAAAACTCAGATAGTGTTGATTGGCTAAGTTCGTTTTCGGAAGGGAAAAGTTTATATAGAGCCTCTAAACAATCCAATTAGAGCCTACCTCAAAACTTTCATTATAAGAGGTTGTTTTGATGTCTAAATATAATCAAACTGATCGTCTCAACATCAAGATGTATGGACATGAGAAAAAAAATGGATTACAAGTTTTGGAAATAGTGCATCTTATAATACATTTTTGGACCGTCAAATTTCAAGATTTTCAAGTTTTAATAGATCTGCTCAATCTACACTATTTTTTTAACTTTAAACTTTATAAATAAAGACAAAAATATAATTTAAAGCTATCACAAAACTTTCCAATATTAAAATCATATTTTTCGATACTATTTGAAGGTGGGTTCTAATTTGATTGTTTAGAGCCTTGAGTGTATACAAACCGCTCCCTTATCCGAATGGGCTATTCCAATAAAACTTTAGAGAATTGAATTATTGAAACGATTGGACCAAACATGCATTGCCCAAGAGAGAGAGACTCTGACTCACCCAAGGCTTCGTCTCTCTTTTGATTTACCTATTGCTTTTTTTTTATACATATATTTCCTCTTTTTTATGGGTATTTTCCATGTATGTTTTAGGCGAGACACCATTAGGCAATATGATAAAAGATAGTAGACTTAGGTTAGCTGGCTATGTGTGGCATAAGCTCAGTATAGTACATGCTAGACGGTGCGAGTTACTTAAAGTGGAAAGCTAAAAAAATAATGGATAACCCCAAAATGTCATGATTGAAAGTAGTGAGAAAATATACAATAACTTATAACATCAGATATGGCATTTAATAAAGCAAAATGGTGGACCATGATTCACGTAGTTGATTTCAATTAATTAATAAAAAACTTGAACTATGACAATGATCTTCTATATATCTTTCATTTTCTCAAATTTTGCTAATGATAAAAAAAAACAGGTAGGTTGTGTGAGAGGAGAATCGACTCATAGAGAGAGAAGGCATAAGGTGTAAATAACAAGAGAGAGGGATTAAGGATCGCCCAAATTGTCGAGCTTTAAAGAATTGGCTACCCCAATTAGAACCATTAAACGCTTGAAAACACAATTATTATTAGGAAAAAGTTTACATAAGAATGTAACCTTCTTATAATGTAGAACTACGGATGCACCTCAAAATTCCATCGAAAATAGTAGTTTTAATGATTGATCATCTCGACATCGAGATATATGATCATGAAAAATAAAAGGATTTCAAGTTTAAAAAATAGTGCATTTTACAACATATTATCTACACCATCTATTTCCAATATTTTCATATGTTTATAGATCTACTTGATTTTAACCATTTTTTAAATTTAAACTTGTATAATTAGATATAAAAATAGAATTTGAGATAATCCTTAAAACATTTTATATCAAAATTATATACCATGATAAAATTTGAAGGTACACCTTACCTCTACAGTTACGGATGCATCCGTATGCCAACTGCACCCTTATTATTAATCATTTCTCAAAATACAAATGATCGAAGAAGATTGATTGCTAATGTCCTAGTTCAAACCCAAGACATAAGGGCTTCATCCCACTATTATTATTAGTACTTTTTTAATCATGAGACTCTTGTGTGTATTCCAGGTGAGATTCCAGCCCTTAAATCATCTCAACCGTTTATTGGGTGTTGGGTTCCCACGATTCCTCCGTTCATGAGATTCCTACAAGTTATCTAAGCTACAAAGGAAATTCGGCTGAAAGACCTTTGGAAGAAATTTTTTCTTAACGTATCGGAATCCAACTTAAATCACTTTTTTAGAAGAAATAAAGCTTGTACATTTTATTTATTTATTTATTTATTTTTAATATTTATTTAAAAGTTCTCGAGTAACCAAAATTTGGAGATCTTAAAAATAGTGATTAGTGTTATCAGGATCAGACCAAACCTCAAAAGGTCTATTTCAATCAAAATAAGTTCGACTGATTTTTTAAAATATAAGTAAAAATATAAAAAATAATTTAAAATATATAATATAGAACAAAAATAAATACGGTCCAACCAACCAAAAACTACCTATTCCAACCAATATTGGTCAAACATTGATTTTTTTTTAAAGTTTTCGACCAAAATCAATTTTTACATTAAGCCAATCGGGCAAGGCCCTGGTTAGTCACACAATCCGCTGTACCAGACCATTTACTCCAGTTTTGATAACTACAACAGTGGTAGCTAGGGTTTACCTGAGGGAGTAAAGTTCGATTTATGCTCCTGTCGGATCTTATAAGTTTTGGCTTAAACTTATTACTTCCCACTCAAGGGTGTGGTTTGTATGAAACCGAGGCTCTAAACAATTAAAGTTGGGTGCACATTCAAATAGTGCCAAAATATATTCTTTCCATATCGCAAATCTTTATGATTGTAACAATATTAACCTTTAATAATAATAATAATAATAATATAATAATAATAATAATAATAATAATAAATAAATAAACAATTCTTTATTATATGATGGTTTATATAAGTATTGTGATCTTTAGGGACCATCACCGTTGTTGTTAACTTCTCTTTTCTTTTACCTCGTCCTTTAGTGCACCTGGGCTTTAAATGTTTCATATCTAATATAATTGTCACACCTCATATATAAGGTGTAACTTAATAAAATAATATAATAAAGTATCTTAAGAATTTAAATAGGAGAGACGAATATCTTCACCCTATAAAATTTTTGAGATCTTTCTCTATCTAGTCGAAACGCAGTGAGCTATTTATCTTTTTAGTTGAATTTTTTATCGGAAGCTCTCTCTCAAATATTTTAGGTAAGTGACTTCATTATCTTGAAAAATAATCCGTTCTTTTTAAAAAATGAAATTAAATAATTACTCCTGCTTGTTATCATGAATTTTATACGCGATAAATTTTATGCGCAAGCGACCTCATTATTTTGAAAAATAATCTTTTTAATAAAATTGTGATATTTTATCTATGTTATAAATTTTAAATGCTGTAAATTCTTAAAAATAAATTTATTTATTTTTCTTGTCTATTGTTAGAAAATTTTAGATACTATAAAATTATTATAAATAAATGTGATATTTCTGCTTTTAGTAAAATTGTGAGATTTCTTTCTACTGTTTTTTTAATATTTAGACATTGTAAATTTCATGTGCAAATGACTGCCTTATTATTTGAGAACTGATATTTTTGCAATTGGTTATAGCATTCTCTGTGAAATGTTTATTTGCGAATTCACATCCCATAAATTGTAATAATTATGTATTCTTGAATTTCTATAAGAGTTTTTCTATACATATTAGATTGGAAATTATACTAGAATGTCTTTACGAACTGCTACCTTCTTAAATTTGAGCCCAAAATATTTGACTGGTTATTTTTGAAAAGTTATTGAAAGTGACTGTTATTAATCGTTTCAGTAAAATTCATATTAATAATTTCAGTGATATATTGAGTACATGATATTGCTACTTTCGAATGTTTAAAGAGATTTAGAAATAATTTAAGTATGCAAGTGGACTCATCTGATTCGTCGGTGAGGTATAAGTGGACCTATCTGGTACGCCGGTAGAGATTAAGTGGACTTATCCGGTACGTCGGTGAGGTATAAGTGGACCTGCAGGGATTAAGTGGATCTATCTGGGACGTCGATAGGGATTAAGTGGACCCATCAGGACGCTGATGGGGTATATAGGTGACCTACTTGGGACGACAGTAGGTATTTTGTGAAATCCTTTGAATTATGCACTGCCGTTAAAATGTTATACACATTTTAATTATTCGAATTATACTTAAATATGCATTTTTTAAAGTGAAACTGTTGATGTATTTCTGTTAATAGATATCATTTTTGAAAATATTGATATCTTTCAACCATGATTATTTTTAGG